TTAGCTAAGCTTAGGTTAGCATCAAGGATTGACACTGGGAGGAAACAGCTAACCTTCCTGTGTTCAAAAGTTTAAAAAATAATCTGTCAAACAGCACATCTAACATCCGGGTAGTTACTGCCCGGGCCAAAAAAAACCTCCAGTTTATAATCTTCAAAGAATAAAGTGACATTGCTTTTATGCTAAACTAAACTAGCTGCTGCTGACTGTAGCTTCATATTGAGGGTACAGATGTATGAGTGGTATCAATCTTCTCATTGAACCCTTGGCAAGAAAGCAAATTACAATACTTCCCAAAATGTGAACTATTCATGAAATGATTCCTTTAAATTATGAATTTGAACTGCTTTTAATCTGTAATTATTGTTGTGTTTTTTATTAGTTAAAATGTGTTTTAATGTTGTTTTTATTCATTTTGACATGTTACTGTCCCCGAGTACCCTGAAAAATGGTAAAATGTATAAATAAAATGTATGATAAATAGGTATTATTATTAATTAAGCAGTACACTTACCCGTCTTTGAGGTAGGTGAAGAGTATTTGTTTGGCTGTGTCTTCAGGTGCGTCTACTGAGAGTTCTTGCTGCCCTTTCAGAAGATCGGGAGTGACCTGGTTAGGGAATAAACAGCCAATCAATACACCTTTTTAAATGTAAACTGTGACTCGGCACCAATCTCTTTACCTGTGCATCTCTTTCATCAGATTCATCGGTCTGGTCACTACATGATCTGGATCTTGAAGGTTTCTCTGCCCTTTGAAGTAATTTTGCTGCATGTGTGGAAATCGTCTCTTTTCCATTATGTCCTTTAATCAATGTGGTGTTCTTGTTCTCCTCCCTCGTCAAAGAAGATTCTCCGCCAAGGAGTCGAGCCCTGGCTGATCCTGGAGGATAAATCCCACCTGGGGTCTCGCCCCTGACAGCTTTCAGAGACGAGGCTCTGCTGGAGGAAGAGGAGGAGGAAGAGGACTCTGAGGTTCTACCGCTGTCCGCGCTGCGGGACCTTCGACACTGCTCCGGGTCCAACCGGTTCCTCGGGCCGCCTCTTCCTCTCCGCTGGCTGCTGTTGAACCGGCTTATTAGCTTCCCGACAGATATGAAGGAATCTGTCTCCACTGAGTTAGGCGACCTTGCGGGAACTTGACTACCTGAGGGAGGGGTCACATCACTCTGGTCTCCCACTGGGCCCTCAGCAGGCAGAGGGATCCGGGGTTTCTTCACAGTCTCAGGAAGAGGGCTGGTGTTTAGCTGTGCAGGTCGAGCGACTGACGCTGCTGAAGGTACAACTACGTTCAGGTTATTACTCTCGGGGTCATAAGGTCTCAGAATCTCCGGATGTTTCTGATAATGAAACTCAGAGGAGGATTCAGGCCTCTGTGACTCAGAGGGAGAGCGTCTTTCATCCTCAGACCTCCTCACCATGCCAGGATTGTACCCCGCCTGGTGAGTGATGACAGAGACGTCCCGGTGGATCTCCTGGCCAGAACTGTTCAGAACCACGTAGGGTTGACCTTTAATTCCTTGGATCTGCACCCTGACTCCGAACAAGTCATCCTGGCTGCCTCTGGGACTCTGCTGCTTGATGTAGCCCCTCTGTATCCTGACGTCCGGAGAGCCGCTCAGCCTGTGAGAATCCATCGTGACTCTGAACTGTGGAAAAAACAAACCTGCTTGTTAAATATGAAACTGAAGCAGACTGACCCTGTATGGGAATTAGAGACTGATGGATATGTTTGGTGTTTACACAACATTGGAGCAGGGTCAGGGCCTCACAATGACACACATCCAGGGAGCTCCTCACACAGCTGCACTCAGCAGATATAAAGACAGAATAAATACGCACAGACAAGAGGCTGATATTGCAATGAAAACAGCTCCTTTTGTGTGCTCATGACAGAGTACTATTGTACAACTGCATGACGACTACCACTGGCTGGGGTCCCCGAGGTGTCGTCACCCACTTCATGGTATGACACTTCAGGAAAATGATTGTCTACAAATATGTTACTGTGAGGCCGAAACACAAGAACACAGGAGGTGTTGTGCAGAAGACAAAACCCATAGGAGTACAATCCTGAGGGTATCGCTTTAATCAGTAACACAACAGCTCATTTATAAAGTTTAAAAAAAAGTTAGTTCAGAAAAGAATGATATGGTACCATTTTCTAATAAGTGGTTCTATAATTGCTTTAATAGTGTTTATAAATGATTTACAAGTACAAAATGATAACATCGGCTACTTTACAACATACAGTCAATTGAAGAAAAGCTTACAAAAAGGATTTGTACAACTTACCCGAATGATGTATTGACAGAGTTGTTCATTGTCAATGATATTGGATCATAATAAATGCACAACGGAGAATCTTGTCTGGACCTGGATCATTGCCCTGCGTAAGATCTGCTAACTAGTGCCTCAGCGGCTGTATTATTTTAAGTTAATTATCTGTTTTATTTCTACATGATTTTGGCCGCTACAATAACTGTAGGCTACCATGAAACATTATTAATTAACATTAATAATAGCTAATTACAGCTTGATGCATTTATAGAGTGTGCTTCATTAGAAGCAGGACATTTGTCCAACAAGTTGTTCATATGGCAAATATATTGAAGCGACAAGTCCATTGTTTCTTATTTTTATTGATTTTGCCATTACTCTTTTAAAGTAATTTGTCATAGGCTACGTCTATGTCCACTCTTTCTATCGATCTCATGTAGGCTGTGAACGTGCAGCGGATATGCGTTTATCCGGTTTCAGGCTACTTTACTTCACAGTAAACCAAGTCTAAAGTTTTCGGTTACTTTGAAAACAGGCATCTAAGTTTAAATAACATCTATCTATAACATCACAGAGTAGGCTATATCACAACACTTTACACTGAAGAAAGAAGTTGACAAAGTAGGCTATATCATGATTCGTAAACTCACCACTGATCCCCGCAGACACACCCTGCAAGACAGACGTCGTAAAAGCAATAAGGGGCTGGTAAATTAAGGACACATGCGGTAGAAATCGATCTGAGCTAAAAACTTACCAGCTGAGTGTCTGGGTGTTGAACAGAGTACTCCTCCTCCCTCTCTGTCCAGAAGACTGTCCTGCCTCCACCCGAGCCCTGTGTCCCGCTCAGAGAGGCGTTCACTGCCTGCTCTGTCGGATACTCAAACCATATGGGATATTATGATTTACTCCACCCGTTAATGTCTCCATGTCATCGTCAGTGCACGCCATGTAGTCTATATCTTACTGGTATCTTTGATTATTCCTGAAGTGTGTCACATGACCGGGAAAATATATCTCTATTTTCCATTGAACAACACTTCAGACTTAAAAGGCTGCCATTAAAGGCATACTTTTTCTGATCATGCAGGTGGCCCCCAAACATGCATCTTGTATTAGGCCTAGAGATGAAGTTGAATAAATGTGTTTATCTGATTTTGTTTTTAATGACCATAAATAATCCACAACTGGACTACCCCCATGATGGAAGAGATGGGCGATGCCAGACAACCAAAGTACCTAACAAAGGTCTGGTCTGGCCACTAATAAGGGGACCTCGAGTTTGGTAATTTTGTAACATTTCATTGAAGAAAGTTTAAGCAAACTGTTTTGCTAGTTTTGACAAACTGTTTTTTTTTAAGACGAGCCTACAACATGAACTATTATGTCATTACTTTGATAACGTTTTTTTTGTTTTTTTTCCTACTACATTAACCATCTCACAAGATTTCCAGTGACCCTTTGAAGCGTCTTGACCTCTGGAAAGCGGAATATAATATAACAATGACCACAACCACCTAATAATTAAATACATTATACTTTTTTAGTCATTGCATTTTGAAGATAATGCAAGTTCTGTAACATTTGGATGCAGGACTTTTATTGAAATGGTATAGGCTATGTTAGATAACTAATTTGATTACTGCAAATACTGATTCGTTGTGAGAGTAACTGGGCAGGTATATATATAATATTCATACAAATGTATTATATGAAAATATGATCTCATGTTCAGAGTTATTCTAAGGTTTACTCATTGGGAACTCACAGAAAGATCACACTGTTGAGATTTCTGCCTGTTTAACACACTTTGACCAACAGGGGGGTTCAGATGAAGCCTCATGAGATGAACCCTTTTTGAGAACCAATTGGCTGGAAAGCTTCAAAGCTTCATAATGCTTCATCTCGCTATCACTAGCACAAATGCCAGCATTAGGCACTACCAAAAACAGGGGTGTGATAGTGAGTCGGTTTTTCATAAAATATTGAGTCATACATAAAATAAACATGAAATCAAAATACTTCACATCAATTAATCGACGTATTTATGAATAATACATTGAAAACTAAAACAAAGATGCCAAATATACTTTTAACATTTATGTACCACCCCTCTACTCAAACTTCTTGGTGTAACCCTCCCAGAACCATAAAGAGGTGTTTAATGCCCGGGACTTTATTAAACGCACACCCTGGGATGACAGGAGACCATGGTAAACGTTTATAACATGATACGCTGTTTATATATCTGTAACTTTACAAAAACGCTAGCAAACCGGCATTCAGGACACTTATTTTTTAGTGTGTATACACATGTTGTTTATCGGAAATATTGCTCAACCAATTGCACCATAAAAGGCGACAGGTGTAGTTTATTAGTTGGCGCTGTCACCGTTTCTCCACCCGGCATCTGGAATAAACAACAGGTGCTCAGATTGCCTGCAGATATTACACCATGCAAAACCTATATTTAATTAATGAGCCGTTGTTTTCCTTTGTAAAACTTGTCACAATGCCTCACTGTGCACAACCTAATATGCATTGCAAAGAATGCTACGCCAATAAAGACGCCTTTCACAAACATAATGGACACTCATTTGGCTTCAAATGAATGATATCTTCTTGTATTTGAATGTTCACTTAATAGTAATACAAGTTTTAGTAGCCTACTTTAAATACAGTAAGTGTATGTGCATGTGATAAAAAGAACACACTGAAAAACTATTTGAAAAGACACATTTATTGCTACATTATCCTTTGACACATGCCTGTTGGCTACTTAAACTGTACATGTCATGATGGAAATAATTCCAGATTATTTTTAATTATTATTTGTTTAGCAGTTTGATATGCAAACAAGACATCAATTACTATGTTACACTGTATTGCTCAGAGCATGGAATATGGCTACATCTATTAAAACAGCACAAAAAGGTTTTCATATGTAAAAGTAAATGGAGACATTATGAAATGCACAATATTTGTATGAAAGATAAGTTACATAACTTATAAAAAATGAATATTCTAGTAAAAACTCAAACATGCAAAGAGCTTTGACTAAGTCTGAAGAGCGAGATTTACTCTGAGAAGACAAAGTCCATTTTCCACCTCCGTCTCGTTAAGTGTGATCCTGTTAACAGTGCTATTACATAAATGTGTGAAATATGTACAAATAACAGATGATGCCGACCTGTCAAAGAACATTTTGGGAGATCTGTTCATTCATAGAATGGTCAAACTCCTTCGCACACATGCACACACTAAACAACAGCTCACACACTCTCACACACACCACAGGACAATTTAAATCCGATGTCTGAACACAAATATGGGAATGTCAGTTCTCTGAGCTCGATGAAAATCACGAGTGTACGTGGTTAATAGTGATACACTGAAAAGATCAATCAGAAACATATCTGGCTCCTCCAAAAATCAAAACTGCAGATGACACTCGTCACTACTGGGTTTCATCCTTTCAGATATATTCAAAACAGACAGATAACCAATAAATATATAAAATATGTACAAAACATCGGCAGTTTACAATGCATTTGTCTGTTACAAGTTAAGTGTAGGCACAAAGTTAGAAGTCCGGTTGGGAAGCAAGGAGATGATTGTTCAAACGGAGAGGGCTTCCTGGTTGCTCTTCGATCAGCATCTGGACATCAAACACACAGATGATAGAAAAATTAGACTTTCTATGGAAATATTATTAATGTCAAGTTTGTAAACAGGGTTGGTAGCATTACAACATTTTTTACAAAAAAGAAAAATACAGTTACTGTCTGCTAAAAAATATACAATGTCTTTATCACATATGTGTAACTGCTGTTTAAGTTAATGTTACTTACTTTATGCTGTATTTGATTCAGTTATTATCAGATGCTCAGAGGTGGCCCATGGGGTTTGATGGGTCTGTCAGACTGGGATGGAAAGCGAGATGCATGGACTGTTGATCCGCCATGGCTGCAGACGCCTTCTCTTCCTCTCTCCTCCGCAGACACGCTGCCTTCGGGTTCAGGTTCCTCTCTGTGAGATTCAACAACAATGGGTAAGCGTTTGACTAAGTAAAGAAGCTAAAACATGTGGTAGAACAAGGATGTTATTCATTGCCATCCAATGTGAAATGCGAGTTCAGTTTATTTTGAAAAAAACAACTGTATTCTGCTTTGGCTGTCGCTTTTCTGTTAAGTGTACTGCTGTAATAGTGGCTTTAAAGCTGTTCTTATCAATATTTGTATATTAACAATCAATTTGACTTTGTTTAGTGTACATTATGTTATTTGTAGTCAAAAACTCACAGGCAATTTTCACCAGACTGCTATTCTTCTCAGCTAATGATGAGCGTTTTAGCATCTTTCAGCTGTTGTTTTGATTTGACGGTTTGCAACCTCAATGTTTTATCAGCTTTCATCAGTGTAGTTTTCAACTGCAGCAGCTGGCAGCTGTTTTGACCCTTCGTTGCACTTGCTGCCTAGAACCAAAGAGGTGAGACTAGCTGGTGATATACACTAAAGGAGCATTTAGCTGCTCGAGATATTTCCCTTAGGAGTTGGAGGGCACCAAACAAGAGGTAAAATAGAGTGAATATTAGGCTCATTATCATCAGGTTGACAGAAACATGACTCCAAATAAATGATAATATTGCGCTATGTCTGCTAATTGTGTAAAAAAACTACTTTTTTACCTCCAAGTGGATACAAAAACAATAAAATAATGCATGTTCAAATTGAAAACATAAAAATGTGTGTTAGTAGATATAAGATATTTATCCCGGATAAACTGTTTACATCTTTAGAGTCTGTAATCAACTGATTCATCTCCTACGCTGACTCCAAACCTCTTGTTGTATGTTAGGTGTCACTCTCCGTTATTTATTTTACTTAAAACATTCCTCCTTTAAGGATGCGCTGACCTCTGACTTGTTGTTCCAGGCTGAGGATCACAGACACGGCCTGGTGCAGCACCAGCAGCTTGGTCTGCGGCTTCTCGCTCTTCAGGTGCAGCTGAACCATGTGACCCAGCTCCTTGAAGGCCTCGTTGATGTCCCGCACACGCAGGCGCTCACGGGAGTTGTTGGACATCCTCCTGTCGCGCTCACGTTCGGCCTTCTGCTCCGGGGTCAGATTCTCATCCTCATCGATACTGCAACATCAATGAGAGAGAAATAAATGCTGGTAAGAATTCTGTATCAAGTTATTGTCTAAATCTTTCAAAAGCCTTTTATGTTTTGATACTGATATTCACACATCTGTTGAGTTATACTGTGGGTGTGTCTGCCCTCTGCTGGTCACTGGGCTGACATGTTATTGGGTCTTCTGAGGTTATTTGATTCATCCTCATTTGTTCTGTGAAAGCCATTCCATACTATATTGAAAATCCCTTTCCAATCAATAACCCCTGATCAAGAGCTGCAATTTAATCACAATTTAATACCTGGTTTTGTTACAATCATAGTCTCATTGAGTGTGAATAAGAAAACAAAACAAAACGTCCAATAAAAAATGTTTGCTGGAGGATTGCCCACATACGTCAACTTCAATTTCCCAAACTAGATTATAGATCTAAATAAAAAGAAAGGACGCACTCAGGCTCCAGAGCTGATGTCATGAAGAGGGTTGTCCTGAAGTGACCGCTGAAACTAGAGACACCAGGACAAATTAATCTGTGACATTTTCAGGAAGTACAGTCTACTTTTAAATCTCTGGCTCATGTAAAACCAAACCAAGTTAGTGAATTTAATTGCAGAACTAAACGTTTAATAAATGTATTGAGAAAAAAATTCCAAACTTTGTGGGGATTTAAGTATTTGCTGTCTTTCTGTTTTATATTTTCAATACATTTGGATTTCATGATGTCACTTATCATATAATGGTCTGATAACAAAAGAAAATACATGTAGTAGTTGCATCCTTAGTTACAAATAATAATACAAACTATATGGAGCAAAATAACTAAGCTTATGTTGTATTTAACCCCTAATGGCGATTGGCTACTGAAGAACGAGGAAGGACTCTATAAAAAGATTTATTTTGGCATCGCTTGTGTACTTCTTTCATAACCCTACCACCTTAATACAACTTTCAGTGTCTTTACATTCACTGAAAGTCCTGGCAGCTCCTCTTTTTTTCTCCCTTAACTTAATGCAACAGGAAAAAGAAATACGAGGCAGAGTTAAATAGGCTGGCCTGGACGCAGCTGCCCTCCCACAGCAGGGGGTCCCGCAGTGTTTTCAATTAGTGAAACCAAACGGTAAGAACACTCTAATACTTGCCTCTGAGGGAGGGACTTTCTTTAAATCTGCTGTAATGCTTTACTGTCACAAAACCCATTGTTTTTCAAACCCATTGTTTTTTTTCAGTGCAGATTTTAAATCATGCAGTTATTTTTAAACCAGTAAGCCATACTAAGCAGCTGGTTTTAAACACAAAACTAGTTTTTCTGAATGGTTGAATGCTGTTTTTTGTTCATACTAAGCAGATAAGTGTTACCTGTTATCTCCTTGTGTTTTGTTTTTGCTCTCCTCATCTGATCTCTGGCTGTCGGAGCTGTGACTGTGGTTAGTGTGGTTCATCTCTTCTCGTTCCCTGCTCTCCATTTTCAGCTCCAGATTACTTCCTGTGGCACATCACACAAAATAAAAAAAATGGTATATTAAAACTGTGAAATCTACTCAGTCCTAGCTCATGGGTTCAAAAGTTCAGATGTGAAATACACGAGTGCATCAGCCTCTACCTGCACTTTGCATGTCATGTATTGTGGCCCTCTGTCTGACTGGGTACGGGTGGCCATTTTGTGTGCGGCTCTGGAAGGCTGGGTGGTTGTTGTTCATATTGACAGCTTCAACCTTTAAGGATCATAAAGAAAGGGGAGAGATAAGAGCTTTATTCATGTGTCCATAGCCTCAGTCACATACAGTATACAACTTTTACATCCAACCAATGACAAATAAGTAACAAAACAAACATCTGCCTCCGACGTAACACCGGGTAGATCTCTTGCTCTACAGAATTAAATTAATCTCAGACAATCTTAATCCTGCTATATACTCCCTGCATATAACACTAAAACAGATACATCATTTGAAAAAATAAAAGTGAGAGAATGTAATGCCCCCTCCCCCCAAAGGATTAGACTAAAAAGCCCTCTCCCCTGCATATACTCCACTCCAGCTGGGCCAAAATCCCCTGGTCTGCTGAAAGGGAAACATGCTGCACGATGAAGGCGTCCCCCACCACCCACAGTGGAATTAAAATCTGCACATACTGTACCCTCGCCATATAAGAGCTACGCGTATACCACTCTCCATTGTGCTCAGTTTCCTTTTTCAAGGACAACAACCCGTACATGGGGAAAACATGCAGACATAGCGGGTGGAACATTCCAACACATACACAAAACATGGAATTTCCATACACACTGCCATGTCCCTCCCTACATATTTAAAGGAAATGGATGTTTACCATGGTTGGAGTGTGGCAGGTGAGCGGCAGGGGGCCGGCAGATCCCAGGAGGCCCTGCAGGTTCTGGTTCAGCAGGCCGTGGATGTCTGCAGGCAGGCCGGCCGTAGGGCCCACAGCGTGGTTCCTCAGGACGTGGATCACATCGTCCAGTCTGTCCAGCCGGTCCTCCACCTGAGACTACGCACACCAACAGAGGAGAAGTTATTTATGTGACATTTGCCAATCAGGAAACAGTATTGAATTTAATCGAAGTTAAATTCAATCTGACATTTTTCTGTAACAAATAAGAGCTCTTAAATCAATTTTCTCAAAAAACCTGCAGTTTTTCAGTTTAATTGTGTCAAGAACAGTCATGTCAAGTAACATAAAAGTTTAATTGGAAGTAGAACGGCACTTGTAAGGCTAAGACCTCTGCTAAGGCCTAATGCTCTCCCGCAATGTTAAAAAAAGTAAAAGATAATGTCTGTATCTGCCTCATGATTTAGGTCTGCTTCTAAACATATTGGGTTCGTCATTGGCCCATGCTACACCTGTCCACCACTTTAATGAAAATCCTGCTTATATACAGACAGAAAAAAATAACAAAACTACAAATATAACCTCTATGGAGGATGTAATAATATATACCTTAAATAAATTGTTTAATATTGTTAGGATCTACTGTAATAAATGTCCTGCAGGAGAGATAGCTGACAAATAGACACCACTCTCATATCTGTGTGTTAGATATAAAGCCAAGGCAAGCAGTTATATAGCTTGACTCTATTGGCTCTATTTCTTGGCCCGCTGACCTCCTGCTGTCTTGTCGTGACCTTGAGGTTGCCAGGTCTGGCAAAAAAATCCTGTAAAACCACAACTTCCGTTTAAAAAAAAACAAAAAACTTTAAAACCTATAACCTTCGGACATGGCTAGCTGTTTAGCCCAATTTCCAGTCCTTGTGTTAAGAAATCTATTGTCATTATTATTAAAATAAATTGTATTAGTATCACCATCATTTTTTGGTTATATTTCATAATGGCCCTTTCAGGTGTTTGCACATTTTTAATATCTGTTTTTATTGTTGAATATTTGTTTGAATATACTTAACATGAAAAATATCTTAGGAACTGCATATTAAATATATTCTCCTTTTTCCTTTAATTAACATCTATATCACACAATCATTTAAACTTCATGTGATATAAATCAGGTCTTTACCAATGATATAAGGGAAGACTCGTAGTGTGGTGAGACTGGTGCTTGGGCTGAACTCCGGGGCCACATGTTGGTACCTGGGAGGAAGAAAATAACCCAATAAGGCCATGAAAAGACAGAAAAATGCAGAATAGAAATAATATTTATACTGTCGCTACAGCAGCTTGTGTTCCTCCAGTTTACCTTCAGGTTCAGTTGCATTCGGGGACGGAGACCTGACTGGTGTGGACGAGCTGGAGGGGAAGTTGCTGCTGGTGTGATCGGGGGAATAAATCTGGCAGCAGACATGGGGCGAGAGAAGGGTGGGGGGAGGAGTGTGAGTAAGGCATGGATCATTTTAAAAGCACACCTTGTCATTTCTGCGTAGGTTTTTACAGCCGCTGCCTCAGCCTTTGGAGCAGGCTCGTAACCTGAACTAAACTCATCAATTCTGGTCATTTTACTAGTTGGCAGCCAATAAAAAGTCCAGCAGCACGAGAGTGGCCTTTCGTTAATACGCACTAGACTGCTCCAGGCAGGGACAAACCCCTATTTTCCTTTTGCATTATGCCGCTGTGGCTTTCAGGGCTTGGTTTTATGCGCTGGTCTGACTGTTTGAACATAACACGGCATAGATGAGCCGCTCTAATAGGATTGAGGTGGTGCATACTTACAGAGGCCAGAGCTTTGCCCAAGGTATCGCCTGTCTGTGATCCTCCTGACACATGTCCCTTGCTTCCTGAGACTGAAAAGAATAAGAATATTAAATATTAAAACAATTAGCAGACAAACCAGAGCTGACATAAGGTGCAGATTAATTCCTCCATTTCCTCACCTGTTGAATTGTCTGAGTTGTTGATTGTCGGAGTGTGTGATGCTGTGTTGTTGCGGTGAAAGGTGGACATTGGAGGGAGACCCCTGTTCATGTCGGCAGCCACCACTGAGTGTGGAGAGTAGTCCTGAACAGTAAACACACATCATAATTAGCACGGGATGCTGTGCAATCAGACAGCCTATAGGTGCAGGATGTGAGTCTCACCAGGTGACTGTGCTGCACCGGCTGCAGGCTGCTGTACCCCCCCGCCTGGGTCTGGTGGGCTGCTCCCAGAGCACCTTCATAGCCCTGCTGGTTCAGCCCATTTACAGCATTCCAGATGTCAGGCGAATTGCTTGTCCCCTCTAAAATGAATAATAATATGTTATAGCCTGCACTGGAGCGGCATCTCAAACAGCCAGTCGAGGCATTAAGCTGTACAGCGGCCTCCACGGAAACAATAAAGCCCTGTCAGTCTGGCAATGGCTGGATAATGTTATTTTATAACAAACTATGTCTGAGCTCTGAGAATCATGGGAACGCCTATTTATTTTTAATGGTTCATGAAACATAACATAGGAATGTTAAGGGTCAGTAAGATTTTTTGTGGTTTCCTTACCTAAATATATATTACATATGACTATTTTCAATATCAAAAGTTTTCCTGTTTTACTAAATGTGTCTTACCTTTATTGTTATTCTATATGTCACTGCTGTTGGTATTACTTAGTATACAGAACATTTTATATGTATTACTCTTTGTTTTTATTTTAATCTCTAGCACAAGAATGTATTTCTTATCTTCTCTTCAGTATCATATCTACTAAAGCCCAGAAACCACTTAAGCTATGTGTGTTTTTATGTTCCTTAAAGTGAACCATATTTCTCTGACATGCTTGGATTAGCAGAGAGCTATTGGATGTATAGGAGTAACATTATGTACAAACATTCATTTGTTCTAAGAATTAACTCTAATTACTTTGTTGATTCTCTGAATTTTTATATAGCACAATTATAAGGTCAATATTTTTATCATATAATATATTGGTTCTAACTATACTACAAGAATAAATGGTTTTAGTGAATGCTGAACCTCAGCTGAATTTTCTAATCGCAGTGATTGCTGCTGGAATAATCATGATTATTCAGGATTGTTTGCGCTCACCAAAGAAGGTGCTTGCGAACACATTGTTGTGGGCCTTGGAGGATGGATGAAAAGATGAGTTCTGGTTGATGTCGTCGTCATTATTGGGAGACTGCCCATAAACCTAGGAAGAAAAGCGTGTTTAAGGCATTGCCGACTCTGACGTGCAACATGATTATACACAAACAATGATATTCTATTTGTCTTTAACACTGAAACCAATCTTGCTGTCACAAACGGCCTAATACTGTGAGTACGAGCTGAAGCAACAGTATTATAAAGCAAAGCAGAGAGGATGATGCACACTTAGAGCTATTGCGATAATCCATAAGCTGCAGATCCATGCACCTCCTCATCCGGATTTAGGAACCATTCACCATGAGAAATCCCTGTCCTAATCATGATCAGGTTCGACTGGCTGCAGAAGACCGGGATACAATTCCCTCTCAAATAATTACAGGCCTGCACATACTATGTCCTCTGAAAGAAACAAACACAGAACCCTAATGATCCCCTTATGTAGGAAACAAAACATTGCAAATGGCAAACAGATTTCAGAATTTAACTGAAGATACCTCTGGTTAATGTTTTTCTTTCAGTTCTAAAGGCTACAAACTGCACATATGCGCCTGAAACACACCAACACATGCTCACTCACTCAAACCAACCAAGAGGTCTGGGCTGCACCTGCACCTCCCCTGGTTGCTTTGATGTGCCCCAGGAAATGAAAATAAACCTCCCTGCACAGCATCAATGGGGTGTCAGTTACCCGGGCGACAAGTTCTGTAAAGCAGGCTATTAAAGACTCTCTTGAGTATGCTTGTGCAAGCACACTCACAGGCTCACACACACAAAGACACATGGTCTTAAACACACACACACACACACACACACACACACACACACACACACACACACACACACACACACACACACACACACACACACACACACACACACACACACACACACACCACACACACACACACACACACACACACACACATAGCCATGACCCTGGCTGGCATGAGTCCCATGGTGATTGTGGGCTTGGCCAAACAGAAGAGCCCCTGCCGACACTGGGCCCGTCTGAGCCGCCATGGGCAGCATATGGCGCAGGATAAAGCCAATTGTCCTCCTTACCATCAGCATAGCAGGCGACCCGTTAATAATGGTCACACCCCCCGCCCCAGTACGCCCTCTGTGGCCCCCACTGGAGAGGGGCCGTCACCATGGCATCCTCTTTTAGCATAGCATTGATTTAGGAACCATCAATCACTGCATCACAAATGATAAGGGACCTTTCTTCAACCAAAAAAAACACAACTAAGAGAGAATTTAAATAACGTAAAACCTTCATACTTGCTTGACCTCATATCATTTTAAACACAAGTAAATGTTATCATTTAGATTGTATTCATAACATTTCTAAAGTAATTTTAATCTAAAAGATATGTTACACAAACAACAAAAAGCCACACTATTTCCCATTGTGAAGGCACACAGCTTTACTCTGCTGGATGAGTGAAATATCAACTTGCTATTCAGGGCCTATGCTGTGCCCCACCATGGCCAACTCCAGCCACATGCAACCAATTTTCTGCCTCTGTGATCCACGATGTCTGGATATGGTTAGTCTCACAGAGATCAAAGCTGCCTTTGATAATGGCAGCAGCGGTGGAGGGACTGCTCCAACATAGCGGGGTTAAATCAAATAGAAAAAGCAGCAATCTGCTTCATGTCAAGATGTTTTCTGCTGCTAGGCTTGACTGCACGGCGCTCAGTGAACAGGAAGCATGAGGTCTCAACGGTGCATTTTAACACGAGATTGTTAAAACCACAAGTGAATGAGGTGTTAGTGGATGCTAACATTAATTCAGATGCTGTGCAGTTGTTATAAGTTGTGTGATTATGTAGGTAATCATTATTTTGTTCGTTGATTATCATAGAAAAAGGCCTTTCTATGCGAATTTGGTTTGAATTTGTTAATGGGGAAACAAACAAACATACAGGCAGGCAAACAAATGACCACAGAGATTTTATTTGTACCTTATGTTTCACAAAGTTCTTTCAAAAAGTGTCAACTAATTAAGTTTGAACAAGAATAAGCTTTATACTGTACCTTTTACACAATTCTTCAGGGAAGTGACAATGACACAACACTTAAAGACCTCTCCACCTCGGTTTCTCCATCACACACGCACACGCACACGCACACACACACACACACACACACACACACACACACACACACACACACACACACACACACAGACAGACAGACAGACAGACAGACAGACAGACAGACACACACACACACACACACACACACACACACACACACACACACACACGCGCAAACCAGCCACATGAAACAACCTAACATCCCATCAAATGTTCTGAACAGAGTAGGAAGCATCCGAGCCAATGCCTCACTAAAAGAGGATCAGAAAGTCAACTTTTATATAGCTTCCTTCCACATGAATACATTTCATATTGATGCAAAATGAAGTTGTCAGGGAGATAACACACTCTTCAAACACTATCAACAAATACAATGTTTTTCATAGTGCAAGTCCACAAACAAGCAGAACATCTGAGAACACAATACAAAAGTGCAACAGCATCATCACCAAACACACTGACAAATACATGAAAAAGATCACCTAGAAAACAAAAATATAAATATATAAGAAATGTACTCACCGGTTTCATGTTGTAGCAATACATCAGGGAGTTGTTGCCTGTGCCAGAGACAGGATGAGCACAGTACATAACTCCGTCAGATTCAGTGCAACACTCTCATACAATCCACTAGCAGCTCCTCTGTCCGTGTCTTTACTCATGTGTGTGTAGTCCACATGCACTCCTTCCCCTAACCTACCCCTGCTGGTCATGCAGCTACCCGCAGACAATTTATGCAAATAAGGGCCGGACCATTCCAGGCGGCAGAGAGGGGTGGCCCAGGGTTGATGCTATTACTGTACTACAAGCCTGGACTAGAATATTCTAAGCTGTATTTTTGTATGTATTCAAAGAAAAGTATTAGAATAAACAAAGTCAGGTTGTTTTGTTACGTTTTATGTGTCTGTTTTTAATTAAAGAGGCTGTTGCGCAAAACTGCATGAAAATAACTCATGTAATAATCAGGGGATTCCCCACCCACCAACACCTTGACCACACCAGATAAATTAAAACAGGGGGGTGAGGGTCCACTAACAGTGTCGTTTATACATTTTGTTGTTTAAATGTCATCCTCTTCTATGACATCCTACGTTGGTGTACAATCATATGCAGGCAAATTCAGAATGACGGCATACATGCAGATAATCACGTGTAAGCCAGGTAGATGTTTCCAGTAAACAGAAGCCTCCACACTCCTGTCTGACCTACTTGTACAAATAGATCCCGATCTTCAGTTTGTAATCACGTGTGGCTTTGTGAGCTTCTCCAGCGGCTGGGATAAAAGTTATTTATACAGCAGCCTGTCTGGGTGACCTGGTACTGAAAACACTTCCTGTGTGAGGTAAATCCACTGCTTGAAACTGACAGTGACCTACTGCATGTGCAAACAAACAGCTCAGATATTTTAGGGTAGGCCTAATTCCTTTATAAAACTCTCACTGTCTACTTGTGAGCCAATCCTCACTGTCGGGGTACCTTAAACTTTAAAGTTACCGTACCCCTCATACTGTCGGGTACCTTTAACTTTTCCTGTTTATTTTTGCACATTTCTGCACAATGTTAACTCTTTTTAAACTACGTAGCTCTTCCACTTTTAAATCCTGAGATTATAATTTTTCTTATTTTCATATTTCTATTCTATTGCCTTTTTTGGTTTGTTTATATTTCTTGTAAACATTTATTTTTCTTGTTTAATTTTAAATCAGTTTTTAAATAGATTTAAAAAGAGTTATATATTTGCTCTACTTAATTAAATCTGATTCTAGGAAGTCAACTGAGCTGCTAATGTTAAAATACTAATAGGATAGACGATGTCAACGATGCTAGGCGCTGAGCTGCTATATGTTGTGCAGTAATCTCTCTGTAGCCTATGTTACATACATATAGTTAACCGGAGAGGGAGAAACAACTCTGCTCAGACCTGGAGTGTGCCGGCAAGTGTCCTAGAAAGACCTCACAAGAATCCAATCAAATCATTTTCCCTGAGCCAGCCGCTCAGCACTTATCTTGAACTCACTGTCATACTAACCCTGCAGTGTTGACACTGAAGCCACACGGGACTGTGTGATGTGGAATCTTCTCAACACATCTATATCCATTTGAGTCATTACCATAATGCATGATGTGCTGCCCTTATGTATGAGTTTAAATGCACAGCTCGTGTAGTTAAAAAATAGTAAACCACATTTTTTCAAAGAATCTTTTTAATGGATTATAAGAAATAATTTAAGCCGATTAGGCTATATAGATTCTATTTATTTTTTTTTTTTTAATGCAGTTTCATTCATGGCCATGATAAGGAGTGTTATGTCAACTGATGGAAGAAAGTGCAAAAAAACCTGATCTGAGAGCAGAAAAAACTAAATGTGTTTTCTGGTTTAAATCTTTCTTAACCTGAGTTTCCTCAAAGTCTAATCCCGACCACGCTAGTGTTAACTGGGTTAGGCGGTCAGTCTCTTCATCATAACAATCATTGCTGGAACTTTCCTTTATTTTCTAGGAATAGCTCTCTCCTATAATTATTATTTTTGTCAAATGGTATTGGTTATAAAGAAGAAATGTCCTTATTGCAGGTGAAATAAATGACAGAAATCAGGACACATAATCCTGGAACAACAGTGGATACTGAATGACCTTTTCTTCTGACAGAAATCAGTTCTCCTATCTGGCACACACACACACACACACACACACACACACACACACACACACACACACACACACACACACACACACACACACACACACACACCACACACACCACACATCTTGGGTAAATGATCCAAGAGCAAATATATACAGTCCCCTAACCCTGAACTTTGCATCAATCTTAGTTAATTGCAGTCTTGTCAGGAGTGCGATTATTCAAACAGGTAATGCAAATGTTAATGAGTTCAGATTTGCATATCTTTATTTTCCCATGGTTGAAATGTCATTGGTTATGACGCTCTACAATGAAGAATGTCACTTCTGATGGCCCCATGATAAGTTGTTGGCCATTAAGAGGCCAAAAAAGCAACTGAAGAAGATGGGAGGAAAGGATGGAAATAAGAAAGGAAATTAAGACTTTTATATGCAAAACAAAACATATGCACTCACTGTAGCCCTCAGTTATCAAATTCAATTTTATTTGCAGAATATATTAAAGGCAAAAACTGTGATTGCATTTTGTAAAAGTAAAAAAACAATTTAGATATGGCTCACCTATATAAACAAAAATATAACGTATACCACTTCGCAGTCATGGTTGTCCTTTTCTGTAAGATTATGCATACTACGCCTGCAACACACATTTCCAGTGTTACTGGCATATTGCTCATCGTCATGCGCCTGATTTGACATGGCTCTAATAACTATCTTCCTGCCAGTGATTGGCATTCACACAAGAAGGGGTGAGTGGGACTGGGGAGCAGATGGTGACATTCCACATGACCAAACTGATCAATCAGCATGCTGGGACGCAGGTGCAGCACAGGCGGGCAGCACCACACCATCTATTTCACCATCTACGGGGCACAAACACATGGGCACCAATCGTGGCACCCTGAGGGTCTGCATGCTCCTCTGTCCCGCTGCGCCAAGGTTGATGACATCAGAATTTCCCATCCGCTCTTCCACAGGACGCCAAGGAAAAGAAGGCGGAGGAAAAAAAATGCTGTATAAAATCTGCAATAACAGGGATAGGTTGTGGTGACGTAGAAGCCAGGGACTCCCATACTTTATCCTTTTACTAACCTGATTAACAGAAAGTGAACGTAGATAAAGCTACACATCTTTTCATTTACGGTATTATTACTTGCACATCAAACCGTATTTTAGAGGTAATCATTATTTTTTATTTATTCCTTACTACAGCCACATTATGCTAGCCTGCACGCTTTCCATGACTTCATCGTAATATTTAGTTTAAGATTTGAAGATAATTATCATTGACCATAAGCCATGTTGATGTATTCAATTGTTTCTGTATCTCAAAAAACACATTTTCACAATTTAAAAACTGGAACCATACAATATGTGCCACAGGGGCGGAACTACGGGGGGGGGGGCAAGGGGGAAGCTGCCCCCCCCCCACTGTAGAGCCTTGCCCCCCCAGCTGCCCCCCTAACTTTTGTTTCCCTAAAACTGTACTAAAACAAACCTACACTATTTCCACAAGCTTCTCAAGCAACGAAACAAGCATTACATTAGTTAAAAGTGAATCATTTTAAATATCATTTTAGGCCCGTTAAAAACGCAGCTACAGCCCTGCATTAAACTGCGGAGCGGCGTTCACACAGCCCGCGGCTCACACCGCTGCAGAGAGGGAGCGAGCTGTCCCAGCACCTATGGATCAGCTTCCCCTGGGAGCATTTCCCTTTCCACTAGTTTTGTTTTTACTAAGGACGAGAGCTTGAAACTAAATATTAATAAAACGCTTTAGTTTGAATCGATAGCGTTTAACAGACGGGCGCTGTTTCGGGCGTTACGTTACAAAATACTACGCAGACAGCGTTAGCTGGGAGATCGATCACTTTGCTAAACTACGCGGTAGCCTACTATTAAATCCACGTAAACTACACATCACAGCCATGAGGCCAGATCAATGAAACCAGGATACATCCTTTACCGTAAAAACTGGATCCAAACACAGCTGCCTGTGTGCGCTTGATCAATACTTTCTGATGTTATATTTATGATATGCTACATATTAGCTAGGCTACATGGCCCTAACTTGTAAAGTTATACAAGCATTTGTACCAGTGCTTTTCACAAGTAGACTCTTGCAGGCCATAGGAGTGATTCAACAACAACAAAAAGACATATGAGAAGTGATCAGGACGAACAGAAAGAGGAAAAGGAAAAGAGAGATGAAAGGACCAGGAGGGTCAGAGCAGGAGGAAGAGGAGGAGATGAAGAGACCAGGAGGGTCAGAGCGGGAGGAAGAGGAGGAGATGAAGACATTAGTGAAGAAGAAGAAATATATGTGAGGAATGAAGATGAAGTATCAGAAAGAGGGCCAGAGGCAGGGATCAGGAGGCAGATGAAACTCCAGCTGGACCACATGGTATGTTCTTATTCTCCTTACATATTCCATTACAGCAGCTCAATCTAGCAGCTCTTAGTATTGACAAATATTGATTGAAATGTGTTACTGCACAGGTCACCTTCAGCTCTCTGAAGAGATGGGTGATGTCATTTGTGTACTTAATTATAATTAAGTACTTACAGTATGCAGAATTCTGAGTATTCTCTGAATCGGGTGCCTTTTGGGTCTTTATATCTTTGAAAAATGAAACCAAAATGTTTGGTCATAACATCTGGTAGTAGACTACTTACATTTTCCCACCTCAGGCACAAAATATAAATAATTACTAGGAATTTCCTTGAAAAAATGTAACAGAGTTGAAGTTTTTGACAAAAAGTAGGCATGAGACCTTGTTTAGCTAAGATATGGCACCACATGGAAGTCAAGGACATTACAAAATTGTAATATTTTGCAAAACTATTGTTTATTTTGTAATAAACAATTATTTACTATTATTAATTCATACAACATAGTTAAAATGTTGAGCTTGTCAATCTTAATCTGAAAATACAAAAACTGAAATATAGGTAAGAGAAGAAACACTTTTGTGATGTAATTCCCTCAATGCAGATCACACATGGACTGATCCATTATTTTAATAGGAGGGT